TGTTAGTGCAAGCCTTTAATCCCAGCACTCAGGAGGCAGAGGCGATCTCTGAGTTCGAGGCCAGCATGGTCTACAGAGTGAATTCCAGGACATAGAGAAGCCCTGTTTCATAAAACTAAAAAAAGAATAATTTAAGAGGCACTTGAGCACTGTCTACTCTGTCTTCTTTTTTATCTGGCCTGAAGTGACTCACCTCTTTCTTTAATAGTAGTAGTAACTGCCATATATTTACTGGCTTTTTATTTGTATGTGTTAAGTTTTCTGTATGGGTTGTCTTATAATCCTCACAGTAACTGAGCCATCTCTCCAGCCCTTAGTATATTTCTTTAAAGGGTAAAGGCTTTAAAAAAATAATTACAGTACCATCATACTGCAAAAGACATATTTCACAAATATCATAAGTGGGTTTTGTTGATGTCTTCAAATTGTGTGGGTTCTGGGATTCCTGATGTAATTTCTCTTCTTTTGCAGGTGGAACCTCACTTCTTGTGGAACAAGTGTCGCCAGCTCAGAATGTAGCGAGGAGCTGTTTTCATCAGTTTCTGTTGGAGATCAAGATGATTGCTATTCCCTGTTAGATGATCAAGACTTCACTTCTTTCGACCTATTCCCCGAGGGAAGTGTCTGCAGCGATGTCTCCTCTTCTATCAGCACTTACTGGGATTGGTCAGATAGTGAATTTGAGTGGCAGGTAATTTTTTGTTGGTTTGTTTTTTTGAGACAGGGTTTGTGTGTGTAGCATTGGCTGTCCTGGAACATGCTCAGGCTTTACTTTGGAAATGTGTTTCTCCCTACTTCATAATTGATAGCATTTATGTGCTTAGAAGACACGTGTCAGATTATGTTAGATATAAAATATGATAAACCATTTTATCATAGGCTTGTAATTTTTGGTTCTCTTATCAGAAATATACTGTAGCTTATCATTTTATATTCTTTTTGTGTATATATGTTTTTCTATCCACAATAATTTTTTTCTTCTTGTAGCATATGTAATATGTAAATGTCTTTGTGGCAAGTTGTTTAAAACTACTGCATTATAGTGAGTGTGATATATCAGAAAATATATGTTGCTTTATTGGAGCATCCATTTTATGATTGTAAAAAAACATTTAAAAAGTATCCCTTGCATATACTGCATGTTTAATTCAACAGATAAACTTGAATCCCTGCTATGTGGGTTTTTTTTTTTTTTTTTTTTTTTTTTTTTTTTTGGTTTTTCGAGACAGGGTTTCTCTGTGGCTTTGGATGCTGTCCTGACACTTGCTCTGTAGACCAGGCTGGTCTCGAACTCACAGAGATCCGCCTGCCTCTGCCTCCTGAGTGCTGGGACTAAAGGCGTGCGCCACCAACGCCCAGCTTAAATCCCTGCTATTTTAAAAGTCATCTGAATACATGAGCTTGTAGTTTTAAAAGGGGTTCAAATATTATTTGAGATAAAACTATTTTTATTAAACTATCAAATAAGACAGGGAGGTATAAATTAAGTCTCAAAAACTCTTCTGGTTACCACTGTGAAGAGCTTTTACAGGTACAGGTGTATATTAATATATGCATAGTATGTGTGTTCATATACAAATATTTCATTCAATATTTGTATGATTTTTTTCAGATAATGGAGTATCTCATTCTTTTTCAGAGCTGTATCCGTTATGTTTTTTAGTTGGCCTCATTTTTGTTTATATATGTGAACTAAGTTTTCTTTACATGTGTAAACATATGTGTATATATGTCTATATATACACTGAACAGGTTTTATACTATATATACACTGAAGAGGTTTTAAAGAGAAAAAATAATTCACCACCCCCATTTTTGTTTTTGTGTTATTTCAGCTTGTGTTCCACATAGAGGTGCAAATATACTTCAAATAAAAGTTTATTATTTTACCTTTAAAAATGACAGAATTCACCATTTAAATAATTTAAAAACAACAATTTTATGCTCTTTAATATACTCACAATGTTCTGTAGGCATCAGCATTGTTTGGTATTTCTGTAACCACCCCCCCCACACACACACACACAAAAGAAATGTATACCTGTTAAGCACAGAGCTTCACTTTCTCTCTGCCTTTGTCATCTGGCAAACACCAATCTATTCTATAGATTTATCTCTAAAATGTTTCTTTTTATTATTTTTAGTGTGTGTGTACACACGCACGCACCAAAACAAGTACACGTGGAAGAAAGCAGAGTTCTTTCCTTCCACTATGTGCATTCCAGAGATCAAACCTGGGTTATGAGGCTGGAGTGTAAGTTCCTTTACCCTCTAAGCTGACCTTTGATTTGCCTTTCTTTTTTTTTTTTTTTTTAAATAACGGGACTTACACAATTATATGTGGCTGTTGTGTCAAGCTGGTCTATTTTGCTGTTTTCAAGGTTGAACCCTATTGTAGCATGTAAAAGTATTTTATTCCTTTCTGTGGCTAATATCAGTTTCTCCATCTTGGTCTATATTGATGTTCCTCTTTTTTATTTCCGCCATCATAGTGAGTGTGAAGTGGTGTCATATTGTGATTTTATTTTAAATTTCTGTTGACCATCTTTTTATTACTTACATCATTTTTATACCGTCTTTAAAGAAACACCTTTGGAAATCCTTTGCCCATTTTTAATATTGTCTCATTAATTGTAAACCCTTTTTCTATGTTTTTTTCTTACTAGATATATAATTTTCTTACTAGATATATAATTTATGAAATTTCCCCATTTGTAGATTGTGTTTTCACTTAAAGTGTATTTTACTGTAATAATATCATTTGATAAAATTTCTTTAGACAGGATCTTGCTACCTAGCAGAGGCTAGCCTTCATTGCAGGGCCCTCCTGACTCAGTGCTAATCTTTCAGGCTTCTATCATGTACAGCAAATGATTTTTAATTTAGATAAGGTCATATGCATGTGTTTTTCTTTATTGTGCTTATGATGCTGTATTAAAAAATGGTTTTACCCAAGATCATGAAGATTACCTGTTCCTTCTTAGAGTTTTAGAAACCTAGTTTTTACATGTAGGCATTTGATATACTTTGATTTTTTTTTTCATATGTTCCTCCCACACCTCAAAAAAAGTGTAACTGGGGAAAGCGTTGTTTCCTGGTAGAAAGGGAAAGCTTTTAATCTTTTCCACTGAGTGTAGTGTTAGTGTAATTTTTCAGTAAATGCCCTGTGTGATACAAAAGAATTTCTCTTCTATTCTCAGTTTATACAAATTCATCACTGTGGACGTTGTTTCTAGGTTTTTCTTTTAATCCAGCATCATTTGCTAAAAACTCTAGTGTATTTCTCATTGGATAGTCTTCGCATGCTGTTGCAAATGGCTTTATTTTTGAACTCAAAATTCGATTGCCTTAATGCCAGTGTCTGTTCTTATGCTTATACAACACTGTGGTTTTGTAGCATGTTTTGAAATTGGGAAGTGTATGTTCTCCCAGGTTGTTGTTGTTGTTCTTTTGTTTTTGTTTTTGTTTTTGTTTTTTCAGACAAGGTCTCTATGGAGCCCTGGCTTGACTCTCTTATGTAGATCAAGCTGCCTTTGGACTAAATATACCTGCCTCTGACTCCCAAGTGCTGGGATTTAAGACTTGTACCCCTATGCCCAACTAGTGTTGTTGCCCTTTATTAAGATTATTTAGATTTTGGGGATAAAACAAAACCATGTGGAGATACACCGATTAATAAAAATGGGATAGTAATTAAGAGAGAGCTAGCCAATAAGAAGCCTGAGCAATAGACCAAACAGTTTACAATTAATGTAAAGCTCTGTGTATTTATTTGGGACTAAATGGCTGTGGGACTAGGTGGTACAGAACCTTCCATCTACAGTTATGTAGATCATGAAAAGTTCTATGTATCAAATGAGAAAATATTGTAAAATATTCTCCAAAAGAAGAGTGTTTCCTAACTTACTTATTAATTTAATAATTGAAGGATTGCAAGCAAAGAAAATTACCAGTAAAGCAAAATGATTCAGTGCCACTGCAAATGCTAAGATGCTGCTTCATCCAAACATTGAAGTCTTGCCTTTTAGAGTAGCTACTATTTCTTTTTCCAGAGATCCACTTGGAATAGCACAAGGACTCTTAATTGCTGAGCCATCCCTCCAGCCAGATTTCCCACTTTTAAAAAAATCTTTTCATACATTACATCTGCCTGCTGTTTCCACTCCCTCCAGTTCCTCCTCCCAGTTCCCCTCTCCACAACTCTCCTCTCCCCCACATCCACTGCTGCTATGTTTCCCTTTAGAAAAAGAGTGGTCCTCCCAGAGACATCAGCCAAACATGGCATAACAAGATGCAATAAGACTAGGCACACACTCTCACTTCAAGGCAAGAGGAGGCAACCCAGTAGGGGGGAAAGGACCCCACAAGCAGGCAAAAGAGTCAGGGATAGCACCTGCTTCCACTGTTAAGAGTCTCACAAGAACTCCCAGGAATATAACCATAACATATATGCATAGGACCTAGCTCAGACCCATACATGCTAGCAGTGTGATTTCTGCCTCATCTGTGATCCCCTATGAGCAATGCTTAGTTGATAATACTGTGGCCAGTGTTCTCCTAGTGTCCTCAACCCCTCTGACTCCTACAATCCTTTCTCTCCACTTTTCTGCAGGGTTCCCCAAGTTCCACCTAATGTTGGCTGTGGGTTTCTGCATCTGCTCCCCTCAGTTGCTGGATAAAGCCTCTCTGATAATGATTGGGTTTGGCTCTGATCTATGAGTATAGCAGGATATCATTAGCATTATTTTATTGACTTTTTTGGCCATTTCTTATAATTGGAGTATAGGAACTCTGTTCCCATGGATATCTAACTTTTTAAGAATACTAAGAAAGTTAAAATGCTTCCTTATCATTATGAGATCTCAAAATAATAGGTAAAGTATACAAGATGATGATTACAAATTGTATGTTAGGATTAACAGTGAAAATCTTTGTTTTAGTTACAGTTTAAAAATCATATTAACTCTGTTGTGGTTAAAAGCTGTTTCGGTTCTGCTGTAGTTAATATAAATGATTCACAGGTTCTTTGAAAAATTACATTCAAGTAGTCATACTTTGAGAAACAACTTCTGTTGTTGAGCAGGAAAGCTTAGAGGATGCAATGAGTGAACACTGCTGTCACACATTAAACCTATAGGGGCAATCTGAAATTACAAATAGAAATGGGGTTACTCATAGAATTCTGCTGCAGCTTGCAGAAAGTATGACAGAGGTTTGATTTAATTCCCTCCATGTGCCATGGCTACTGATTATGGTATAAATATACTGAATATAGTTGGTATAAATATACTGAATATGGTCTATAAAATATAGGATAGGGCTCATTAACCATTTTTTCTTCTAAAATACTTTATCATTTATAAAGTGGGAAATTTCTGGCCTAATAAATATACACAAGCGTCCATACAATTAATTCTGCTATACAACTGCTACTCTAGTCCCATATGTCCAATTGACTACTTGACATTTCCACTTTAATGACTTTATCCTTTCATAGTAATTCATTATCTGAGATGCTGAGTCCTTGATCAGTGCTGTCACTTGCAAATATAGTCTTTCCATGAAAAAGTACATGAGCCTCTGTGATGTATCTTATAGCATACTGAATAATGACTGTTTTCTATCCAAAGTGTATTTGCATACCGGCCATTTCCCTGTTATCCATATCCCACATTAAATCATTTTCTTATTTCATACTACAATAAAGGCCAGGTTGCCTGGCATATTTGAATGCACTGAGGTTGTATCCTACTTTGGATTTGGTCACTGGTACTATGAGTCTCTTTGGGTACCATTTTCCCCCTTGTTAGAATAAGTGTGTTAAGCTAGAATTGTTAACACTTGAAGTCTTTGATGAGTGTACCATCCTGGGTAGGTTATATGATAATGAAATAGTTTCCTCTGGTCTGAATATTGAGCTCTTTGTTAACCAATTAACTATCAAATTGTTCTTTTTTTCTCAAGGAAGACTTTACTTTTATAGTTTGAGGGTGGAGTCCCTTGTGGTGGGTAAGTCCTGGATGCAGACTCTCAAGGCAGCCATTATGCAGAGAGCAATGAAGGTTCCTAAACAATTTATACATTATAGTTTGTCTTCAAAAATTCCACACCCATCTGTTTTCTTTCCTGTTCGTGCTGATTAGAGTATAGGCAAAGTCACAGCAAAAGCTTCTTGTGTAGTCACAATCTTTCTTCCATCCGTTTTGTTTCATCAGGATACTGTCACTTGGGAAATGTTTTGTATCTTCACTTGCATGCCATGGGAGTGCTTCTAGTGCTACTGTTGTTCACATCCTCTGCACTAGTTTTCCTTCCTCCTTTCTTTTTTTAAGAATGTTTTATTCATTTCCAGATAGTCTCTTTACATAGTCTTGGCTGTCCTGGAACTCACTCTGTAGACCAGGCTGGCCTTGAACTCACAGAGATCCGTCTGCCTCTGCCTCTGCCTCTGCCTCCCAAGTGCTGAGATTAAAGGTGGGCTATGCCACACCTGGCTTCTTCTTTTTTTAAAAAAAAAAGACTTTATTTATTTATTATGTATACAACATTCTGCTCCCTTGTATATCTGCACACCAGAAGAGGGCACCAGATCTTGTAACGGATGATTGTGAGCCACCATGTGGTTGCTGGGAATTGAACTCAGGACATCTGGAAGAGCAGTCTGTGCTATTAACCGCTGAGCCATCTCTCCAGTCCCTTCTTTTTTATGTATGTCGTTTTGGGTTTCTTTCCTCGCCCTGTGTTTTTGCCATCTGTGGTTTTACTAAATTATTTGTCTTTCCCAAATGACTTTTTCTGTCCATCTCATGTCATTAAACATCACTTTGTAAAATATAGCCAATCAATTTAGCAACATAGGACACATTCTATAAGAGCTTTTACTACCATTTTAGTGCTCAGCAACCATGGCAAGGGATGGAAAAAGAAAATACATTTTACCAAGTGTCACCTGTGTTTTCTAAGTACACTTCTGAGTCTCCTTTGAAGTTCCTGGTATCAGCCATTTTTTGTTGAAGAGTCTAACTCAAAGTAGATTAACTAAACCACACAAAATGAGCAGGTATAATACCATACCCCTGTATTGCCATACTTGGGAGGCTGAAGCAGGAGGAACAAGGCAGTCTGGTCTACATATTGAGAACTCCATGTAGCCTGACATACAGCTTGAGATCCAGTCTCAAAAGAATAATCAGCCATCAAATAAATAAGTTACACAAGATCTTACCTCTAGTGAGCAGTAGAACTATGTTTTGTATTCTAGGCTGTTTAAACTTCTCCCTAAATAATGACCAAATTACTATTCAATACTTTTCTATACCTGCTTATCTCCCACACTAGACAAAACCAAAGATGAAAATTTAAGTGCTTATCATGTAGTCTGACCCCAAACAGATAGTCTCCAAAGATTAAAAGAAAAAATTTCCTAAATTTTGAAAGGATAGGTATTTTAAAAAAAATTTTAGATTTATTTAATTGGTGTTTATTAGTGTTTTGTCTGCATGTAAGTCTGTGCACCACGTGCTCGCCTGATGCCTGTGGAAGTCAGAAGGGATCGAATTTCCTGGAACTGGAGTTACAGATGGTTGTGAACCACCACGTGGGTGCTGGGAATCGAATCTGGGTCCTCTGCAAGAGCAGCAAGTACCTTTAATAACCAAGCAGAGCTGTTTCTCCAGCCAAAGGGGAGAGAGAGAGAGAGAGAGAGAGAGAGAGAGAGAGAGAGAGTGAGTGTGTATATGTGTAGATTTCAGAGGCCAATCTCAGGATCACCATCTACATCTTTTGCGATACTGTCTCAAATTGACCTTAAGCTACTCTGACTGGCCAGTGATCCCCAAGGATCTGTCTGTCTCTGTTTTTGCATCCATCATGTGCTGCATTGTGCAATTGTATATGGGTGGTGTTGTGTTACCTTCCTGAGTATGAACATGATTTCCACTCTGCTGAATCCCCTATAACTATCATAGTGCCATATATGTATTAGAATTTCAATACATATGAAAGCAGTAATGTTTTTTATTTCTAAAGCACTGCTTGTTTGGAAAATTTCAAGGCTTAGAAATCATCTAGAGTCAAATATAGTTGCAAAATCTAGAAACCCCAAAACCAGTAAAGCTGATGTAGCTTTGTAATCAGGAAAATAATTTTTTTTTAGAATTGCTAAGAAAGCAAAAACGTTTACCTATTTTTTGATTAGTATATTAAAGATACTAAATGTTACAGGATATTTATGTGCTAATCACATTGATATGACATGTTTTGATTTCATGGGTTTATGTACATGTTCAAATATATCAAATTATACACTCACTGCTTAGTTTTCATTTATCAAGTATAAATAATAAAACTATTTAACCCACTCTTCAGAGGCAGTATATTGTTTTTTTTAACCAACACACACACTTCTTTATCTCCAATACAGACAAACATATCTGTGATTACACAGAGTTCCCACATAAAACACCCTTTTCACCACATCTAATGTTAGCAACTACGATGCATTTAAAGAATGAATACAAGATTCTAAACTGAGAAAAATGATTCCTAAGTTAGTTTAGTCTTATTTCACATCAAGAAATAATTGGTTTTAATTTGGTCACCATAATAGTTATTAATTCACATCTTAGAATACTTTTTATTCCATTACCAATATCAAATTCAGTAGTGTCATTTCTATAGAGTGTAAATTTTAAGTTGTCCCCAGTCTCAGTTGCCACAATATTTTAACTTCTGTATATTTTTTTCCAGATTGTTGATATTGGTCTTGATTTAAATGGATTTTATTTGAGTTTTCTGTGTTTTGGGTTTAGTTTTTTATTTCTCCTTTGTCTACACATTGTCTTCTATTTTTTTTATTTTCTAATGTTTCTGTTCTTGAGTTTTTGCTTTATATCAACAGCATATTTTAAATTCCTTTAGTGTTTTTTTTTTTTTTGGTTTTTTGGAGACAGAGTTTCTGTGTGGCTTTGGAGGCTGTCCTGGAACTAGCTCTTGTAGACCAGGCTGATCTCGAACTCACAGACATCTGCCTGCCTCTGCCCCCCAGGTGCTGGGATTAAAGGCTTGTGCCACCAACGCCCGTCGATTTAGTGGTTCTTATGCTGTTACTGTGCACTCAAGGAGAAGAATTCACGGAATTATGTGTCTTGAATAAAGCCAGTTAGTGGCAGGCAGATGGATCAGATCTCCTGTTAATAGCTTGGTACTGCTGACTCATGTTTTATAGGCTCTGACAATATTGTGGCCATAAATGAAAAACTTTAGTGACTATTGAAACTTAAATTAGCATTTTAGTAATTCTTATTTATGGTTTGGAAAGTGAATTTTCATGAGATATCTTCAAAGAATATTCTGACATTGGTCTTTTTGTATAAAATATGTGTGGTTCAATATTAATCTACCTGAGAAATACTGATTGTATATTTACCCTTTGTCTTGTATTGAAGTAAATTTTATTTTGTTTTGGCCACATGATCTTCTATACCCTAGAGTGACCTGAGACTGGCTATTTAGCTCTGGCTATCCTTAGACTATTGATCGTCCCCTCTCCACTTCCTGAGTATAGGGATTACAGGGATGTGTAACCAACCGTGCCTGGCTGAAGTAACTTTTAATTGATCTATAAAATGTGTTACCATATTTAAAATGTACCCTTCATTTTTTTACTTTTCTTAAGCACTGTACTTCTTACTTTTCTAAAGTTACCAGGCAGTGACATTGCCAGTGGAAGTGATGTACTTTCTGATGTCATACCCAGTATTCCAAGTTCACCTTGCCTGCTGCCTAAAAAGAAAAACAAGCACCGGAATCTAGATGAACTTGCTTGGAGTGCGATGACAAATGATGAGCAGGTAAATAAATATGTTGACATTCTTAATTAAAAGTGTATGTGGAAAGAAACTTATTTGTAGAGAGGAGGTGAAACCTCCTTTAATTACCTCTTTGTAGCCATTGAATTAATTATATGAATTGCTTATTAAGTTTCAAATTGCTGGGCAGTGATGGTGCATGCCTTTAGTCCCAGCACTTGAGAGGCAGAGGCAGATGGATCTCTGTGAGTTAGAGGCCAGCCTACAAGAGCAAGTGCCAGGACAACTAGGTCTACACAGAGAAACCCTGTCTCAAAAAAAAGTCTGAAATTGAGTATTAACTTTTTTCCAGGAAACAAATGAATTTACGATATCTTAGCAATGATCCTAAGAAATAATCAGCTTTTTTATTCAGGCAGTGGTTGGTTCTTTATTGGAGCCTTGGACAAAATAATTCTTCTAATGCCTAAAACGTGTCATAAATCACATAGTAAAGGTCAAATAATATTGATATTGTTTGTTGTAATTTTTCTTCACATAGGTGGAATACATTGAGTATCTGAGCCGTAAAGTCAGTACTGAGATGGGTCTTCGGGAGCAACTTGATATTATTAAAATCATTGATCCTTCTGCGCAGATCTCCCCTACTGACAGTGAGTTCATTATTGAACTTAACTGTCTCACAGATGAAAAACTAAAGCAGGTATGTAAATAAATATAGATTGTTTATCTACTGAAGATGCCACCATCTTATAAAATGTAGGTGTATGTAATCATATGCATACTCATATACTATCAAGGCCAGAATCACTGCTGTGAGATACCACATTCGAAAAAAAATTCATGCTGAGCTAAGAGTTGTAGCTCAGTGGTGGAGTATAACATGCACAGAGCCCTGAATTCACTCCCTAGTACTGCAAAGAAAAAGAAAAAAAATGACAGTAATATTTGAGAGCATATGATTTTTTTAAGTTTTTTTTTTAAAGATTTATTGTGTATACAGTGTTCTGTCTGCATGTATGCCTGCATTCCAGAAGAGGGCACCAGATCTCATTACAGATGGATATGAGCTACCATGTGGTTGCTAGGAATTGAACTCAGGACCTCTGGAAGAGCAGCCGTTGCTCTTAAACCCTGAGCCATCTCTCCAACCTGAGACCATATGGTTTTAAGATATTTTCTGTGTCTCACATAGTAATACCTTTCTGGTCAGTGAAGATAATAGAACCTGCTTTTAGTTATATATAGGTCTTAATTTATTTCACCACTTAAAGGATGTTTGGACTAAATTACAGATTTGTGCTATCTCCATTTACAACAGAGGAATTGTCCCACTCAAAATACTAATTAAAACCTGGAGTAGTGGCCCGTGCCTGTAATCCTAGCATTTGGCATGTAGTGCTAGGAGGATCAGAAGTTCAGGGTCATCCTTGATTAGTTAAGGACTTCAAGGCCAGCCTGGGAATACATGAGATCCTGAATGCCTCAAAGCCAAAACAAAAACTGAAACCTCCAAGTCCTACTTAACAAGAGTTGCAAGTGGGCAGGCATCTGTACCAAGGGTTTGAGTAGTCTGGTGAAATAACAGCCTGTGCAGAGTGAAATTTAAGGACCGATCCCTTCCAAATAACGATTTTCTGTACTTTTTCTCTGGTGTATGCTTTATTAGAAAGGTCCTTACTTCTCCATTTCTGGTGTCTTGCATTTAGTATTGGTGAAAAATGTCTCATTTCTCACAACAGGGAATATTTTTTTCCACATTTCAGCTAGTTTCTCTAGTATGGTAAGTTGATGTGTTGCATTTAAAATCAGATACCATTGTCCCCCTCACTAAAATATAGGGGGAAATGCATACTAGTCAGAAATGGAATCCTTAATATACTTAACTCATCTTTAGTGGAAATCTTTTAAAATGTATAACCACATCTTTTCTTTATTTTGTTGTTTCTGTTTCTGTGTTTTCTTAAAATTCAAATTCTGAAGGCCAATAGGATTTGCTAAGTAATTTTTATATTTTAAAAATATAGGTCTATGTGTTTGCTAGACTTTTGGTCCCCCTTCCCCTCCTTTCGTCTCTCCTTCCTTTCCTTGGTGCTATTCCTCTCCTGCCCCTCTCTTGATTATTGTTTGGAAACCGTTTCAATTTATAGTCCAGACTGGCCTAGAATGTAATATGAAGCTCAAGCTGGGCAGAAACTAGTTGCAACCCTCCCGCCTTAGCCTTCTAAGTGCTAGAATTAATGCACCTGATTTGGTAATTATTTCTATGCTTAGATATTTCTTATGACCTTCTATTCCAGCTCTTTTATACATCTGAAGCACTTTGGGCGTCTTTCAGGTTAAACATGCTATGATTTTTTTCCTCAGGCATCTTGAGGGTGGAATATCAAGGTTCGCTACTTACCAGTGCTTGTCCATGTGTCCTAAGGTCAGAAACTATATCAAGGAGCATAGCCCTCGTCAGCGGCCTACAAGGGAGGCCTGGAAGAGAAGCAACTTTAGCTGTGCAAGCACCAGTGGAGTGAGCGGTGCCAGTGCCAGCGCCAGCAGCAGCAGTGCCAGCATGGTCAGTTCTGCAAGCAGCAGTGGGTCCAGTGTTGGAAACTCTGCTTCAAACTCCAGTGCCAACATGAGTCGAGCACACAGTGACAGCAACCTGTCTGCAAGTGCAGCAGAGCGGATTCGGGATTCAAAAGTAAAATGTCTAATCAATACAAAACTTTCCCTCTCAATATTAACATTAGTACGCTTTCATTTCAATCTCTTGCAAACTAAACAATTGCTCCACTGTCTGGATGCCTGTGGCTTTTGGTTTTGATTGAAGAAGCAGAATGTTCTGCCTTTGAGGAAAGCAGTCTAGACCGAGTGCTTTCAAATACTCTTAACCCACAGCCATGCCACTTTGCAATCTTCTCTGATTCTTATGTTCATTTTCAGTAAGAAATAATCAGAACGAAGAAAATAATAGCTAATTCTCAAGATTGCAACTCACTACTGAGCGGCTCTCACTATGTTGCTAATGTTGCTGTCCATTAGCTCCTAAAACTGTTTTGTACGTTGTGTGTGTGTGTGTGTGTGTGTGTGTGTGTGTGTGCATGTGTGTGTTTTCATTATTTCCTTGATATTTTAACCTTAACCGTACCTTGACTAATTAAAAATTATAATAACGCTTTTCGTAATCTAGCTCTATTTTTCATTGTTGAAACTTGTTGGGCACTTGTGAAAGACAGTAGAAGTGCACACGGAATGGCTGGATAGTTCAGCATGGGCGTATGAATGGTTCCTTGCAGTGGCACAGACTAGAGCCAATTTAAAGATGAAAAGAGAATCTCTTTAACTCTTTGGAAACCCAGTGGTGGTGATCAGAAGATATACAGTGACTCCTTCCCCATTTTGTTTTGTTTTATTTGTTTGTTTTGGTCTGTTTTTGTCAAAGTAGAAAAAACGGCCAACTTTGATGGTTACCAAGGGATTTCACTGGATATGTGGTGATTCTCTTGGTACTAGTTTACCAGTGATGAGGCTGAAGTATCCACTGGGTTCCTACAGCCTTTTAAAGATAGCATTTGTCTGATATTAGGAAGGTGTGATTGTTTCATAACCATTGGAAGGTTGTTAGTACTCTGATGTAAAATGTACCTTGAAAGCATAAGCATTAGGGATTTGGCAATGTTTTCTGCATTTTATATTCAGTTTTGTGCTCTAGTATTTTATTTTCCCTGTGTTGATACCAGTATACCTTAATTTGATTTTTAAAAATGGAATTCTTCACAGTATTTTATTATCCATACCTACCCTAAATGATCAAGTATCAACCCTTGCTAGCCAAAGAGTTACTAGTCAAATGTCATAAAAGTAGAATCTTATTTTTTTTATATCTAAGCCAAAGGATTATTTATTGGTGTAAGAATCACTCTGCAGAGAAACTTGAACAACTCCTAAAATTTAGAAAATAGGGAATTTGAGCCATAAAACCCTGAGCTGCCTATAGCAACGTCTAAACCTTACTGACTTTACACTTTTTCACTTTGACAGAAGCGATCCAAGCAGCGAAAGTTACAGCAGAAGGCCTTCCGAAAGAGGCAGCTGAAGGAGCAGAGGCAGGCCCGGAAGGAGAGGCTCAGTGGGCTCTTCCTTAATGAAGAGGTGCTGTCATTGAAAGTGACTGAGGAAGACCATGAAGCAGATGTTGATGTTTTAATGTAATAGGGTGGATTTATCGGCATCCTTTCTAAGCATTATTCTGTCCTCATTGGTTTACATGCATCTTGACCAAAAGTTTGGTTAGGGCTGTGCTGATGTACCTACCATTCATAATTTAGGCCAGTGGTTCTCAGACATAGTTCTAGTACCTGAAGCTTCAGCATCACCTGAAAAGATGTTATAATTGCATTTGAGCCCCTTTGCAGACCCACAGGCAATATGGATTTGGGGCAGCACTGTGTTTTAACCAACGCCAGGTTATTCTCATGCATATTCTGATTTAAGAACCACTGGTAAATGTCTTAACTATTTTAACTTTATGATGATTAACTGAGCTTTTCAAAGACTAGTACATATACAATTGGGGGGATTTCAAACTACTAATGACAAGTAGTTTATTTTATCACTATATGCGTAGGGTCTGTAATTCAGTTCCCTTCTTAATGATAAGATTTCTTAGTTTACTTTTTCAAAAGGGCCAATTATTAGTAGCTAGGGGCAAATCTTTTTTGAGGTGAGGGTGCACATAAGGTATGCATTGCTGTTTACAATAGTGCCTTCATTAGGTTTAGTTCCGTTTTCATTAAGTATTAATGCAAAGGTATAAGAAAAGGCCCTAATCTTTTCAAATTAGATGTGTTTTTTTTTCTTTCTATACTTTCTGTCAAGTGAGAATCATTTCTGGAAGTAATAACTACTGAAAAAATAATGCTACACTAGCAAAATTTTAGACTTAGTGCTGTGCTGATGATTAATTTTCAAATGGAGATTCCAACTAAGCATTGGTACCAATCAAACTTACCCATTGCATCCTTACATGTTAGGCTGTCAGATAATCTCCAGGCTAGATAATTTATCTGTTTCTCTCTATCAAAAAAACTTTCAATGCAGCACATCTTCAATTTTATATATTTGGTTTAACAGCTTATAGGCATGGGAACAGGTTCATGTTCCAAATTAAGTGACAGAGACTGCTTAGCGTTCTACCAAACTTCAGAAACTGCTTTGAGTAAACAAAGCAGTGGAGTATAGAAAACACCTTTGTGGGTTCCCAATAGGACTTGAAGTCTAAATATGAAATCATGGAGTTTCCTGAATGTTTTCGAAGAATTCATTATCATGAACTTAGAAATAGTCTGATTCCTTTTCTTCTATATGTCTTTGAGCATTCACATGAGCTTGAGAAAACAGAAACTGGGACTACTGACAATCAACTTGCTTTCTGACTTTCATTTTATCATAGCATTTAGAAGGCAAACTGATTGTGTAATCAATATTTTGGAAAGACTATGGAGTTCAGAGGTTAATAGGTTTTCAACAGTATTTAACTTTAGTTCTTCAAAAAGATTAGCAACTTAATTTCCTTCACGCTCAGTTGGTATAAAGGCTTAAATTTTACTAAATTAAAAGTGAAAATTTAATCCTGATATGATGGTACATGCCATTAATCCTAGTATTCAGGAAGCTGAGGTGGGGATTGTAAGTTCAAAGCTAGCTTGGGCTACATAGTGCTACTAATATTTTGTATACATTGAAAATTTTTATTTTATTTTGCTTCTTTGAAGGCTAAAGAATTGAAACTGAGAGTAAAAATTAGCAACTTGCAGCGTTGCTGAGGTCTGTGGTCTGGCTGTAACTTTTGAATGCCTACTAAGGTCAGAATTTAAAATGCTACTAAAGTAAAAGCATGACGAAGTGTGCTTTCAGTTCAAGTAGTATTTCTGATTTTCCTCCTACCTCCTTTGGTACTCCAGTCTGGTTTAGAGGGACCAAAGAGATCCCGAGGTCAGACCCCAGAATACTTGATGAAAGGTATACTTTTGTTTTCCCTTCCAAACACAGAAATAGAACAAGGAAGAGAAGCAAATACATCAAAACTCTCTGCCTTCTCTAAGCGATAGCAAAATCCCACAGAGGAACTATCCGCATGCTCTTCCTGTTCTCCAAGGAATATGGGTAGCATTGAGATACAGAGCAACGTTTTTTTTCTGTCACACAATTTGTTGATGCTCTGTAGAAGAAAATCCAAAACTAGTTCAGGATATAATTTAAGACCAATTCCTCTATGCTTCCCCAAATTATGTAGTCTTCTTAACTTAGATTTAACTGAAGTCACTATTGAATAAGTTTACCAAAGTGCCATTGGCAGATTTTTAATGTCTATAAAGATTTGAGTATTTATAGAGATGTGTCCTGAAATTTTATGTAAGTACAGATTCATTCTGTACCTTAGAACCAGAATATAAAGTTTATTTGGAGGAGATCAAAAATACTACTTTGATTTAAAAGAAAAAAATGGAACTACTGGACTTGTTTATGATCTAAGAGATAGAGATTAAAATCTCTATCCCTCCAAAAATAGAAACAACAACAAAAAGGCAAAAGTCTCTTCTGTCTTTGTTAATGTGCTGTGATCTGTTATCTGTTAGGATGTTATGTAGATAATTTCAGAGAGAATTGTTGAAATAGATGGTAATTTATTAAATCTCGTATCTCTGTGAGGCATATTAAAAACAAACTCAAGTCAGTTACCTTTTTTCCTTTTCACTGGAAAGCCTACTTAATCAGTCAATTTAAAGGAAAACCAGGGACATGCAAATCAAAACTGTTAAGATTCTATCTTATTCCAGTCACAATGGCTAGCATCAAGGAAACCAAAAGCAAATATTGTTAAGAATAGGGGGTGGGAAGGAATCTGTATATACTGCTGCTAATAATATAAACTGAGTGTACCAGTATAAATCAGTATGCAAGTTTTTTTTATAAAACTAGAAGTGGAACTAATTGTCATCCAGCTACCCAGATACCTGGGTATATTCTCAAAATAAGTGAACTCAGTATATGACAGGAATACTTGTATTTCCATGTTTATCACAGTAGTGTTTCCAATAGCAGATGAATAAAGAAAATGTGACATATGCACAGAATATAGTTGTATTCAGCCATAAAGAAGACTGGAATTATGTCATCTGCAAGAAAATGGATGGAACTAGATAGAGATCATCATGCTAAACAAAGCAAACCAGACTCGCAAGAAAATGGATGGAACTAGATAGAGATCATCATGCTAAACAAAGCAAGCCATTTTAAGACAAACATTGTGGTTTTCTTTTACATTTGGAATCTAGATTTAATAAAATGCGTCTCGTGCTCTTCCAGAGGTCCTGAGTTCAATTCCCAGCAACCAGCTGGTGGCTCACAGCCATCCATAATGAGAACTGGTGCCCTCTTCTGGCCTGCAGAAACACATGGAGACAGAATTTATATACAGAATAAATAAATAAATCTTTTTTTAAAAATGCATCCCATGTGATTGGAAGGGGGTGCTATTTGAGAAGAGGAAAGGCTCTAGTGAAGAAGGAAAGGGGGGACAAATGATGGTGGGTAAATATGATCAAAGTAGATTATAAATATGTATGGATAAATAAGTGAATGCATGAGAAGTCCAGACATTTTCTCCCGTATTGGTGCAAAACTGACAGTGGAGTAAGTCTCCTCTTCACAGATTTATCCAGAGACTTTTTATTAGAGATCTTGGAGGAGTATGTCAGTCTTTATTACAGCTTTTAAAAGTGTGAGCAATGACTTAAGCAAAATGGCATGTATTTTTATACAGTTTTGCAAATGATTAAAGGAAGGCAGTGTCCTAGAATGTAGTAGGTTGTAAAGGGCTAGTTCATTCTGTCTTACCAAGAACTTAGAGTAAAGTAATACTTTTTCTTCATTCTTTGGTAGATAGTGGCAGTTTTGTTGAGTTCCTCTGTTTTGGGGTAAGTTAGATATTGCTGAATCAAATCCTAGAAGCCAACTTATAAATAGTGACCTATAGTGTGCATAGACATCTCATTTTTTATCTTTTAAAAGTGGTAAATTCCCTTAAAAGGAAAAAAATATAAGAAATTATTGTATAAAGGTATCCAGATTCTGATGAGCTTTAAAAATGTAAAATTTATTGTATATCTTCATATTTAAGCCAAAAATGTTATTACATAAACTCTATAGAAGTCTTGTTTGTTTTTGTTCTCTTAGCAGACTTTTTCCATGGCTTCTCTGTAGCCTCATGTGCCTTAAAGGTGGTGAACTTTGTAATTTTCATCACTATCAGGCTTTTCTAAACTCAAAATTAGAATGTTATAATTTGGTTCATATAATGCTCATGGTGTTTGGATATTAGTAAACAAAACTTACCAATCAGTAGTAATAGAATATAAAATGAAATAAAAACCTTCAGATCTTAGACTCATTTGCCTAAAATTAGTTTTGATCCACCAGATTATTGAAGAGCCTTGCATTCATGTAAAGTTTTTGGTTAATGTATTATTTTTTTCCACTGGAAAAAAAAGTCTGAGGCCAGGATACTTTTTATTTCCTTTTTTCTGAGACAGTCTCCCTGTATACTTCAGGCTAGCCTTGAACTTGTTGTGTTGTCCAGGCTGGTCTGGGACTTGTGATTCTTTCCCCTTAGCTTCCCTGGTGTTTGGGTTCCTAGACAGGTCTTGGGAGTATACTTTTTAAAACTAGGTCACATTTATCATAGAACAGAATTTTTAGGGTCTAGACAAAAACACTAGAACCAAGATCATATAGCTTGGTGTTTCTTCTGTTAGTTTTAGGGATTCTTTGTATTCATTTGTGTATTTGTCAGGGTACCCTATCTCTCCTTTAACAAATTACCTCTTAGCACTGTCTTCAAGAATTCTTCTTTGGAATTGATGGAGGGTGAAATCAGTTTGGCTTAGCTGATAGTATAGTTCTTTTGTGTTCAATAGTAAGGTGGGTGTTGAATGCACTGACATTCAACATATTTAAGTTAGAGATGAATTCCATCTTGAAAGGGTCTATTAGGAAATCCATATTTGAGTAAAAAATCTAGTATGGTAACTGCAGTAGATTTAAACTTGATGAAATGAGATAAATTTTATCTTAAAATTGAACATTATTAAATGTGTAAGAAGCCTCTCAGGTACTTTGACTTAGGCATTTCTGTCAGGAAAGTATTTGGAACACAATTCTTATAATATTTAAATTTGGTCTTTGAAAAATCATGTACATTCTCTATGAGGCTTAGAAGGAACTCTGACAATTTCTCTAACTGGACATTAAGAGTGAAGCAATTGAATGGCATAGTTCAAGATCCAAGTTGGCTCACTACAATTAAGTTGGCTCACTACAATTAAATTTCCATTTCTTAAGTACTGAATTTTTTTGTGGCTCCCTGCCCAATGATTTTCTGAATTGAGGTTATTGGTGTTTTAACCTAGACCAGACAATGGCAAAAATTGCATTTTAATTTGACACTCATGCCAAACTTGGGAAAAAAAAACAGTGTGGTCTTTGCTGATTTCAATATGTAGTAGTAGTTTTTCTTTATTGTCATGTTTCTTCTGTTACATCATTGTGGTAAATGGAACCTGTGGAAATCTGTGTTCTTTTTTGTGGTGATGGATGGGGTAGAAAAGGGAAGAATTGCTTAATTAATGCATATCTGTTTTGACTATGTCAAGGTAATTGTAGAATTAATGTGTACAGATGACAGGTACACACTTAAGATGCTGAATTGTTCAGAACAGCCATGGCTTGTTCTGGGAAGTTGCTTGTCCTTAAACTGAAGCTGACCTCTTGGGTTTACATTGAGGTTTCTCAGCTTTTAGAGTATGGAGCTGATACTGTCTCTTCCTGTAGTGGGTGAATTTAATTTCCTGTTGGAGTACTCTAGTTTAGATAAAAAGTATTATCCATAAATCTTTGTGTTGGCAATTTAATAGGACTCTTACCAAAAAAAAGTTAACGATAAACACAAGTACATTAAAACATTTCACAGATCATTAAGAGTTGCAAATTGTGGGACTCCCCCCCACTTGTCAAAAATTAGTCGTGTAGCATCAATATCATAACCAAAGTAGGAAGTTGACTGTTTGGAGAATCTTCAAGTAGTCTTAAATACAATATCAGATTGTTAACCAGGACTTTTTCTGTATTCCTGCAAAGTATATTCTATATTAATGCACTTTTGTATATACAATGTTCTGTACTTACTACAGTGTATATAGAACCTGTTTGCTTTTCTCAAAGCCATGTAAGGGGATAACAATAGTTAGAACATATTTGGGTTCTCTTTTGAGTTCCTTCTTGCACATGAATATATTTTAGCCGTTATGTCTAAGCGAGTATGATTGTAACTGAAGCTGGCCATGTGGCAGAATTGTCTTTTGAACCCAATATCAGAATGAAAGGAGTCATTTTGTTCAGTAAGACTTGTGGTAATCGTTCTATCTTCTGTTAAAAATCCCACTGCTGCTAACTTACCACTTTATACTCTAAATCAGCTCCTCTCAAAGACCCATCCCTGAACATTTGCCACTAACAGAGAATTGTCCTTACCGTTGTTCATCGTTTTATTAGAGTCCATAAACTTATTTTGTGAGAGTCCCAGTCTCCAAAAAGTCAGGAGCAAACCATTTTTTTTCTGAAGAGATCAGATTTCTAGAGAGATTATCATTCACACACTAAGTGAAAAGTAGGTCGATTTTTCGTTGTTGTTGTTGTTGACAGAAACTATCTATTTTCTTTATATATTGTTGTAGAATCTTTTAAAGTTAAGTTTCCGGAAAAAATGTCTACGATCAGTTGTATGTATAGATTCATATGCCATTCTGATTTGTTTCTGTTTTTGTTTTCTGTGTGTAGGTTTTGTGGTTTGTTTTCTGTTTTTAATCAACAATATTATTTCTTGCCACTAGAGGGACTTCTATGATTCTTTTCTTTTTTGGAAAAAATCTTAGCTTTTTTCTTAATTTCACAGATTGGCATAGACTTATTGTCAGAATGTTTTGTGTTAGTAACTATATTCATTTATTAGTCAAAGGTAGATTAATTAAGCTTCTTTAATGAAAAAGGCAGTCTTAGTCATGCTGTCTATGTAGTCTTTCATTTTTAATAAATGTTAGATACTAAGTAAAACCAGTATATGTGTGTGTGTTTCTTTTTCTAAGGTACTCCATAACTTTACAGTCCTTATGGTAGTTACTAGACATAGGTGACTGTGTAAATGAATTGAAATTAACTAAAGTTCAAAATTTGTCCTTTAGTCAAGCAGCAATACTTCAGTTCCCAATAGGCACGAGTGGCTTTATGCTAATTTTTGTTTGGGAAAACACAGAAACTAAAAAATGTTCCACAATGTTGGGGATGGTGGTACATGCCTTTAATCCAAGCATTTGGGTGACAGAGGCAGGCAGATCTCTTTGAGTTCAAGGACAGCCGGGTCTACAGAGTGAGTTCCAGTACAGCCAGGGCTATACAGAGAAACCCTGTCCAGAAAAAAAATTAAATGTTCCACAATCACAGAGAATTCTTATGGAGAGTGCTGCTACAGAGATTTTTCTAGTGGTCATTCTCATTCTACCACTTAACAATAATTAGTGCCTAAGAACTGCTGCCCACAAAGGTGATAACGATTGGTGTGAGAGGGAAAGTGAAATGCATTTTGTTTTTTGTTTCATTAAAACCACTGCTACAGTTGGGAAGCTGATGATTTAGTAGAAGAATTCCTCTGATACCGTTTCATTTAACTATGGTTGATTGGTTTTTGCGGTAAGGTTTGAACATGAGCTCTAGAACATATTAAACCAGTGCTCTTACTCACGGTGTACCCTTGGCCCCACGATTTCTTAGTTTTATTGTTACAAAGAGACTGTCATGCAGTTTTCTCTGTGAGTTCTTCCTTGGACATAAATCTGTAAATGACAGTGGTTAGGACACAGAACCAAGTACAGACATTTAAAAGACAATCTAATACTGACTGCTGAGCCCTGGACACATACACATAAAGGCAACACTGACCAGACTCAACAGGATGCATTATATGTTGATTTGTGTATAAGTATATGTAACAACACTGTTTAAAGAAGAAGCCATGAATCTGGGAGGGAGGAGTGGGGTCAGACATGGGAGATGGAGAGAGGAGGGAGAAAGATATAATTACATTTTAATTTAATAAATCTATTTTTATAAATATAAAGAAGTAATAA